CGGAGGCCCGCAGAGGCCCCCCTAGGAAGGGTCACCCAAATGTCGGCCTCGGAACTCGTTCCCCCCCCCCTCAAGCCTGCTCCCCCCCAAGGAGCTCTCCCGGGGCTCGTCCTGACGTGGATTTCGCGGCTTATCCAGCCGCGGCGACGACGGCCCCGCCCCTTTGGAGGCACCAGAAGATCGAAGAACACGGATCCCCCCCGCTCCGTCTCCCCCCCCTCCGCCCTGGCAGCCACCCACCCATTGCTGACATCACATCCTCTCGTCCCCCCCCCCCTGCGTCCAAAAGGGGACCAGGACAATGTGGGGTCGGAGGATCGCGCTGCTGCATCGCCGGTGCACAAGCGATGCGGAGCGATCCCGAGCCCGATGTTCGTCACCTCAACCTCGCCGAAGCACGGAAGATGGAAGTGTGACGGAGAGAGGAGGGATGATGGAGGCAGGGTGAAGGAGGGAGGGGAGGTCGTGGATGGAGGATTGAGGACGGATGGAGGAGGGAGAGGGGAAACGAGAACAGAGACATTATCAAGAAATTGGACAGAAGTTGGAGGGATGGAGGGGGATTGGAGGCATGATGGAGGAGGGATCATTGAGGAACAGGAGGCAGCACGACATTCAGGAGAGCTGCGTAAGCAAGCGGCAGGGGGAGCTTTGACGGATGTAACCGAGGTGCGCTCGCCACGGCTGACTCCGCGGAGCCCCGCCGGGCAGGGCCCCCCCCTCCTTCTTGACGAACCAACAACACACACCTATACCCATAGAGGGGTCGGAGAGGGCTATGGGTGCGTGTTGTCGGACGGGGGTCCCCGCTCGAACGGGAGCGTTCCCCAGGATCCGACAACCCGCACCCATACCCATCGCCAGTCCTTCTCCCAACGACCCCCCTATGGGTGTGGGTGTGTGATGCTCGTTCGCCACTTCTCTCTTATCGTCAGTTCCGTGCTCGCGATCACCCCGGCTGCGCGCGGCCGGCCCTGGGCAGACGACCGTGGCAGCCGGCCCGGGCAGCCGGGCCGGCTTGAGATCCTCTTCCTCCTCCTCCTTTTCCTCCTCCTTTTCCTCCTCCTTTTCCTCCTCCTTTTCCTCCTCCTCCTCCTCCTCCTCCTCCTCCTCCTCCTCCTCCAGCGCCGCCGTTTTGGTCCAAGGCTTCGAGCCTGCTGCGAGACCACGAAATCACTTGATCGGCACATTTCTCTCCTTCCATGTGGCTGCTGGCTAGCAGCAGATGGTGACTTATACTTTAGCGGTTAGTTCTTTCAACTGCCTTCATGGAGCGCATGCGAGGCTGGAGGGTATATGCGCCGAAACCCGAACTTCGGCATGATCGGCTTGCAGGGTACTGGAACCAAGGCGCTGCCCCAGGAGACCTACAGAACGTCAAGGGTTCTGGACCGCGTTGCCGTCATCGCTGGATGGAGTTCGACGAAACTCAGTCATCGCAGCGCCGGCTGCACATTGCTCCTGCCCCCGAGATGGCCACAGAAGACAATCAGACGGATAGATACACCACCTGCCCTGCTCCAGGGTCGCGGATTGGGCGTGTATCTTCGTTTCAAAAGCACCCCCTTTTACGCGCTCACGTTGTATTTCCCGCCCAAGCCTTCAGATCGTAAGTCGGTGCCGAGATATCTTTCTTGTTGTGAAAAACTGAGCAGATGGGCTTCGACGATGATACGACAGGCTCCCCACTCCGCCATCGTGTTTGTTATGGTTGATGTGAATGATGGGATGGGTTTGATGAAGCAAGATGGTCAGTGGACGGATGTGAGTGAAGAGACGGTTTGCCACGGCGTGACACATGAGAAACATCCTTGGGGAGGAGGGCATCGAGTACGGGAGATGATGGGGGAGCACGGGATGTTCTCTGCAACTTCTCAGAAGGGCGTGTCCCCGACTTTCTTTGATGCATACGGCAATTCGAGCATGATTGACCATGTTATTCTTCCACTTTCACTGGCGGCAGAGATTAAGTCTCAAGGTCCTCTGAAGCGATTGGGTCGCCGCTTGCAGTACATTCCCGACGCACAGCTTCGAGACCATATTCCTGTTCACGTCCGTGTGGAGATCAATCTGGACTTTGGTCAGCAAGAGAATTTCGTCAGGCACGGCCCGACCAGCAACCCCACCACGCCGACTGTCTGGACGGCACCCAATGCGATCAGTACACACAGGTGAAATGGGATACTGGGAAATTGATGCATACTCTTCGTGGGCGCCATGAACGACATCAGTTCTTGACGGCGGTGGAGGCTCGCTTATCGGAAACAGAAGCGTCTACTGGCATGAACTCCGCTGAGGCGATTCTTAAGCAACTTGATACAGCCCTTCGAGATGAAGGACAGAAGTTGTTCCCCAGAGATGCTCCTACAGAGACGGACCCCGACAAGGTTGAGCGCCTTCGACTTCTCGCACTTCGACGTTCCCTTCGCGAACGTATGCATTCATGTGATCCTGCGGGGCTAGAGGAGTGCAAGCAAAGACTCAGACACATCACCAAGACATGCACCAGAGCCCGCAAACAGTGGTTCATAACGAAGAATGAGGCTTTGGTTGAGGAAATCTATGAAGCGTGGCGGCACCGTGACCTTGCCAAAGTCCATCGTCTGAGTTTGAGGTTAGCTGGCGGCCGTCACGGAAGCGGGAAGCGGGATTTCTCCCGACTCCAGGGGGCCTTGCCCACGCAGGAAGCATGGCTTGCGACTTGGTCCAAGCCTGGTGGAGAGGGGGGGATGTCGGCTACTCGGTTGGATTGGGGGGCTCTGCAGAGGGATCGGAATGATTTCACGCGCCCGCCTGCTCCGCTTGCGTTTCGACAGGAGCGAGTGGCGCAGTCCTACCGAGACGCCGTGGGCGACTTGGGCTTTTTCCAGGCCTTCTTGAAGTCAGCCTCTAAGCGAAAGGGTGTCCCTCGGTGGGCGTTGCCTGTTGAGCTTTGGGGTCTTGGGGTTGGTGAGCCTCCCGAGGAGGACCCTCGTCGCTGCGGTTTAGGCTCGGAGCCCCCACCGATTTGGGGCGAGAAAGTTAGAAGCTGGCTTCGCCGAGTTGTTTCCTGACCCGTCAGACTGGCCCCATTCCCAGCTTGTGGCCCTGTAGCCAAGGTTTTGTCTTGCAGAAATGTGCGATCCCAGGCCCCGCGGGCCGTGGAGTGGTGCGCGGTTTGGGTCCCCTCGTTTTTTTTTTTTTTTTTTTTTTTTTTTTTTTTTGAAAGGGACGATGAAACGCGGTCTTCCATACATCCACTCGGAGATGGACCATGGCTTCCTGAGGAGGCGTCGGCGTGAAGACGCCATCGCAACCAACCTTTGCACGTCGTGGCGTCTGAATAAGGCTGGCGTTTACTGGATCGACTCGCTGAAAGATCTCAGCAACGCATTCGCGTCTCCTGCATGGCCGGCTGTTGATGAGGCCGTTCTCGGAATGGCTCGCGGATCAGAGATGCGCTTCTTTCAGCAGCGTCACAAGCTTGCGTGCACGTCTATTCCAGCGAAGGAAGGCGACCTTCTCCTGCGCACTGGCTGCGGCTTGCTCCAAGGAGATCCGTTCGCTGTCGCGTCGTTCGTCCATGTCTTTCGTCCGTCGGTCGACCGCTGGATTGCGAGGCGTCGCCAGGAAGACCCAGTGGAGCAAATGCTGACAGCGGCACGTGAAGTTATAACCCCAGCCAGCGTCTACTTAGGTCTGACAAAATTTGCCGGTCATATTTTAAAGAAGCTCGTGCTCGGTTCGCGATGTTCCCTCGATCTGGCCAAGAGGAGTTTGAAACGCAACGATGCTTGGCTTGATGCGAAACTTGCGAGGATTGGTCTCGAGCGCAATCCTAAGAAGCAGGAGGCCTTGTTCTCTGCCCCCCCCCCCCCCCCATCCGCGAAGCGAAGGGTGGCTGGCTCGTTGCGCAGTCAGGGGTGCGGCTGCGGCGAGCCTGTCCGATATTTAGGCCCCCGCCCCACCCCCAGTCAATCCTTCCAGATTGAACTCGGCAAGCGGATTCAAGCCGCGAGGACGGCGCACTTCCGCTTGGGACGTTTCTGGCAGACGCCCAACATTCCATTTCGCTGGAAGCGGTGCGAGCTGTTATGTAATGTTGTCAATTCCGCTTTCTCTGCATTGGCATGCTTTATCCTGAGCGCAGGTCAGGTTCGTAAATTAGAACTTGTGGTTGCTGGACTTTGTAGACGTGCCGTGAGAGGTCGAGCGAGCTGGGAAGACGCGCGTCATGTTCGCTGTTTGACCTCCCAGCAAGTGCTCGAGTACTGGAAGATCATTCCTCTCGGCACCGAGCTCCGAGTGCGTAGGCTTAAGTGGTTTCAAAACATGTGCCTTTCCCGAAACTCACAGACAGCTGACAGGAGCATGGTTCGGCAAGTTTGTGTGCGAGGACGTTTTTGGCGAGTTTTGTTCGATTCGACCTGATGCGAGTCCGTGGGCTTTGAGAGTGCACGAGGACATTGAGCAGCTTGAGGTTGTGTCCGAGGAAGCAGCCGACCTGTGGCAGGATGTCCGCGGGAGGGTTAAAAATTTGTTTCTTCCCGAGCTCTCGGACAGGATTAAGCGAATTGGTGTCTCGATTCTTCGAAGCTCCGCCCTTTCTGTGAATATCCCGCGTGGGCCCCTGACTGGATCCCCAGAGGAGGCGGAAGTTAGTGCCCTTTTTACTGGGCGCTGTCGTGTTTGCCCATGGGACGACTCGTCAGGTCCCTGCGGTGTCACTTTTACATGTAGTTCAGGCCTAGCCAATCATATACGCAGTGTACATAATAGTGTGAAACTATCGCCTGCTATCACTTTAACGAATCAATGCGTTCTCTGTGAGGAAGTCTTTGGCGAGAGGCTCACGGCTTGCAAACGTCTCGAAGGGGCCCTTCATCACGGACGATGTCTACGAAACAAAGCCTCCACCCTCGCGAAGCTCCAGGACCCTGACAACATTCAGTGCAGAGTTTGTGGCTCGACATTCCTAAGGCTTTCAGAGTACAATCGACACGCCCTCAGTCATCTCTAGCATGCCCCCTGCGATCGAGCTGGGCGCGGCGATGTTCGGCGGGGGCGAGCTTACCCCCTGGGCTGGCGCGGTCATTGCGCCCGAGCGGGCCGCCGCAGAATCCGCCGACAGCGCCGGCTCGCAGGCGAAGCAGGCGAAGGGCAACGGCAAAGGAGAGCAATCACTTCTGCGCAAGGTGGCGGCGCTTTCAATGGCTACCGCTCGCGAGCAGGCTGTGCTCTCGTCCGTCGTGCTGTCGACCTTCCTGGTGCCGAGCGAATCGTACTTGGCCAAGAACGGCCTGGCGGCCAACAAGATCTACTCGGACACGGTCAAGAAGATTCACGATCGCAAGGGGGCGGGCGAGGAAGTCGATCTCGACAGCCCAGGGCCTCCGCTTATCGCGGTGTTCTTCCTCTCGGCGCGCGCCATGATGACGCAGGGATCGGATCAGGTGCAGAAGGCCGCCACGGAGTTCTTCTAGAAGTATCTCAAGGACCAGACGCCGCAATGCATGGCCTCGTTGGTCAGGCAGTTCGCAGCGCGGGCCCCGCGCGGCCCTGGCAGCAAGCGGACGCAGGGCAAAGTCATGCTGACGCTGGCGCTGGGCCCCAACCCCGAGGCGCAGGCGGTGAACGCGATGATGGACTTGGCGCTCGCGGCGTGCAAGGCCGTACAGATGGTGGGGACTGCGCCGAAGGGTCCTCTCGAGCGTCAGAGTGTGGCGGCACTGGAGCGCGCGTGACTATCCCTAAGGCTTTTGCCACGAGTGCTCGATATCGTGAGCTTGTGGCCAGAGGCGTGCTAGGTCAGCCAGCCAAGAATTTTTTGGTGGCCTTGCATGCGGAGGAGAAGGACGGGGGGGGAGATGTCGTCGTCGTCGTCATAGGCGGGGGAAGGGGTCCAAGTCTTGAAGTGCTGCTAGTTCCAGCGGGGTCGACGCGTGGACTTCCACGCCGAGTCGTTCCCCGCGGACTAGCGGCTATGTGGCCGCCGCAGGGTCACGACTGAAAGTCGAGAGAGTTGGCAGCTTTGCCGCATAGGACCATGGCTCTTTTTAAACCCTGGAAGTTGCGCCTTCCGCTCCATATTCGTTCGGAGACGGGCCTCGCCTTGCTTCCACTCCGTATTGTCGACAAGAGAATTTCGTCAGGTACGGCCCAGCCAGCAAACATTCGGAGGCGGGCCTCGCCTTGCTTCCATTCCATATTTAAGCGGCGTGGCTGTCTGTCGCGATGCAGTCAAAGATCGATGAACTGGTCCCTAACGCTTTCGAAACGAATCGAATCCTCCTCCTCCTGCCCCTCCTCCTCCCCCTCTTCTTCCGTTTCCTCTTTTTCCTCCTCCTCCTCCATTTCCTCCTTTTCCTTATTTTTTTCCTCCTCCTGCCCCTCCTCCTCCTCCTCCTCCTCCTTTTCCTCCTCTTCCTCCTCCTCCTCTCGTCCTCCTCCTCCTCCTCCTCCTCCTCCTCCTCCTCCTCCTCCTTGTATCTTCACCCTCCAGCAGCATGCGACTGTCCACCTCCACCTCCACCCATCGACCTCCAGCGTCCAGCAGCTCAGCACTCCGACCTCCACCCTCCAGCATCCGACTCTCCACCTCCACTTCCACTTGCCGACCACCCAGCACTCCGACCCCAGCATCCGGCTTCCGACTCTCCACTTCCACCTGCACCACGTGACCCCCAGCGTCCACCAGCTCATAACTCAGCACCCCGACCTCGGCAAACAAGGACTACGAACACTGAGGGCCCCGGCCCCCCCGCGCAGGCCCTAAAGGGCCCCGCTCCCGGCGGAACCGCCGCTCGCCTCGCCTCGCCGCCTCGCCTCCTCCTTGTATCTTCAGTGCTACAGTGTCGTGCTCACGATCACCGTCACGATCACCACGATCATCGCGATCAGCGTTGCTGCTCCTCCCGCTCCGAGGGCATTCTTGGTTCGAGCCTGCGGCTCCGAGGGCATGTTGGTCGCGGGGTTCGCCCGGAGCGTCGTCCCAACCCCGCAACTTGGCGCGAGACCTGCCCCGAGTGGCGCCTCCCCCCTCCCCGCCCCTCCCCTCGAAGAAGAACAACACGCCATGAACCGAATCTTCTGGCGCTCCGCGCGGATTTGTTGGATCCGCGCTGGGCCCCCCCCCCCGGCAGCGCCTCCGGCGCCGCCCCTGGCGCCGGAGGCGCGCCAGGGCAGGGGATGTTCAGCGCGGATCCAAGAACTCCGCGCGGAGGGCCAACAGTTTATGTTTATGCCATTGTTTCTTCTTCTGTCCCCCCCCCCCCCACACGCAGTCACACGCCCACCCACGCCTACCAACAACTCCCTTCTGGGTCTTCATCGCTGGGTCTTGCCGCTCTCCCTGGCCGTTGTTCTTGGCCACGTCGGTGGCGAGCCAGGGGGGGAAGTGAGAAGGAGAAGGCCCTTTCAGAAGGCGGCGGGGCTTCTCAGGAGCGCTCCGGCCTTCTGAGAGGTTTTGTCCGCGACTCTGGGCAGGGCCCCAAAAACTTCTCAGAAGGCCGGTGGGCTTCCGAGCCCTCTGAGAAGACCCTCCCCCTCTCGACGGAGGGCTCCCCGTATCGAAGATACATCTTCGTAGGAAGCTATGAAGAGGAAACTTGGAGAAGACTTGGAGGGTGGGTTCAGCTCAACCTCGTTGATGAGTCTTGGGTTTACACTGGTCCTTTTCCTCCTCCTCCTCCTCCTCCTCCTCCGAGCCGAGGAAAGGGCTCGCCGCTGAACCGAGCCCTCCGCACAGCAGGTGCCGCCGTCGCGCGGCCGCGGCGACCGCCGAAGGTCGAGAGAGCTCGGACGGAAGCGCGCGCGCGCGCAGGGCGACGCTGCCACGGGCCATCGGCGTCACCCCAGCCTACGAACACTACGTGTGCCTCGCCCCCCCCCCCCCCCTCCGAGGGGCGACGCGCGCACCGAGAAGCCTTGCATAGCACGTGCGTCGTGGCCGGCGCTTTCTGGCCGCACCGCTCGGGAAACCATGTACCACAGGATGGGTACACTCCTCTGGTCGGGTCGGACGCGCGCCTCCAAGGAGGACGCACAACGCATAGTACTAGCCCAGGCATGCGACGTCCTGATTTTTTCAGGACGGCGTCCCCAGAAGTCCAGATCCTCTCCATGGGGCCGGTTTTTCATCTTGAGTCGTTGGTTGACGGTCCCGAGTCCCGGCGAGGACCCCCCGAGGCCGAAAATGGCCAGAAGTTTCCCGTCCTGATGTGTTTTACGACGTGATCTTGTCTGGGAGAATGTCTGTGTGCGTCCCCAGGCCACTTCAGCCGTGCCGCGTGTGCCGCGCGTGCCACACCCTGCAGGGGCATGCGGCCTGCGATCGCTTGCCGTGAAAGGCTTTTGTTTTGCGATTTTGTAGAAGGCCTGCAAGGTCCACAGCGCACAGTCGTCGTTGATGATGGCATCCTCCTCCTCCGCCTCCTCCTCCTCCGCCTCCTCCTCCTCCTCCGCCTCCTCCTCTTCCCCCCTCCTCCTCCTCCGCCTCCTCCTCTTCCCCCCTCCTCCTCCGCCTCCTCCTCCTCCTCCTCCTCCACCTCCTCCTCCTCCACCTCCGCCTCCTCCTCCTCCTCCTCCTCCTCCTCCTCCTCCTCCTCCTCCTCCTCCTCCCCCTCCTGCTCCTCCTCCTCCTCCTCCATCTCCTCCTCCACCTCCTCCTCCTCCGCCTCCTCCCCCCCCCCTCTCTCCTCCTCCTCCTCCGCTTCATCCTCTTCACCCCTCCTCCTCCTTCTCCTTCTCCTCCTCCACGTGGTCGCTGTCTGGATGCGAAGGCATTCCTCCGGCGACGTCTCGGCGAGCGAGACACTGCGCAATGCGGTCGCACATCGTGGCGGCCTCATTTTCCCCCTGCAGTTCCATGGTTGGAGTGCACTAGCGTCGATTGTTGCGTCTGGTAATCGATGAGGCTGCGCCGACTTAGGGCCGATTAGTACCGATTGCCAAGAAGATGGGATGGGAGGCTCCCCTGAGTATCCGCAGACGGCGGAAGGAGGCGAGGCGGTGCGCGCCGTGCCACCCTCGCAGGCTGCGCCAGCGGCTGCAGCAGCGCCGCCAGCAGCGCAACTGGCGGCAACGACTCGGGCACCGCCTCCTGGCGTTTCAGTCGCAGCGGCGGCTGCTCCGGCCGCGGAGGCAGCCGCGCCAGAGGCGCGCGGCGGGGCTGCCAGAGCACCGCGGCGGACCTCCGTGGGGTCCTGCTGAGAGCAGGCTGGGCCTGCTCGGTCGAGCAGCTCGGGGACGGCACGCACTTGCGCGCGGCAGGGCCCGGGCCGGGCAAGCGCCTGAGCGCGGGCCGGAACACGAGCGCCCCGCCCATTGGCGGCGCGCTTGTACCTGGGCCTCCTGGCGCGCGCGCGTGCTGGGCTGCTGGCAGCTGCAGGGCGGATGCCGATTTCAAAGGGTAAACGACTCTACGACGCCCTGCGCCCGGGGGGCGCACCATTTTCCCTGCGGGCGCTGGCTTCGCGCCGGCGCCCGCGCCTCGCTGGCCGGCGGGCGCGCCAGGCGACGGCGGACTTTTCTCGCAGCGTGGGGTCTCAGGGGAGGGCGCGTAGCAGCGGCGCTCCAAGCACCGCTCGCGCCGATTCTGCCTGGACGGTTGGCTGTCAGCGTCCTCTCGCCAACGCGGGCCTTCGTCGTTCCCCTCCCTCTCCCCGCGCCTTCCTCGCCGTTCGTTTGCCGCCCGTCGTCGTCGTCGTCGTCATCGTCGTTGTCGTCCTCCTCGTCGTCGTCGTCGTGTCGTGCCGTTTCCCCGTGTTCTGCCGGTGGGCTCTTCTTTCGCTGGCGGGAAAGGCGTTTCCCGTCTGGTGCCGCCCCCGAGCTCGCCCAGTCCCCCGCTGCCGTTCGCCCCCCCCTCCCCCCCCCAGGGGCACTTGCTTCGGTTTGCGACCGGTGCGCACAAAGCAGGTCTGCCCCCTTCCCCTCCCCATGGTTTCCTTCGCCCCTCTGCTCGTATGTTCGTCCTCCCCCTGAGTGTTCCTCTCTCCGCTAGCTCTCCTCCTCCTTTGTCTTCCCGCTGCTCCCGGTCCTCCTCGTCCACCCTCTCCTCCTCCCCGTCTCCGTCTTCCTCCTGCATCTGCTCCTCGCCCCGCCCCTCATTGCTCCTCGCCCTCCCTCCTTGCCCTCTGTTTCTCCCCGTTGTTTTCTGTCTGGGGGGAAGGGCCCACTTTCTACGTTGCCTGGCCATGGAGAAGGGGGCCACATGCGAACCCTACCCCTACCCCCCACGATTTCTGAGGGGGAGGGTGGGGTTCACTCAGAAATCCTGGGGGGCAGGGGAAGGGTTCGCATGTGGCCCCCCTATTGATCGAACGATCGCTGCGTCGACCCTCCCCGCCCCCCGCTCGCGGAGGAGCCTGCCGCCGCTCCTGCACAAGGCGGGCGCTTCTGCCAGCTCTGCCCCAGCGCCCGCCCCCCTCCGTACCTCCCCTTCCCTCTCCTCCGCCTGCTCCTGCTCTGGTCCTGCCTCGGTCTCCCATTGCCCCCTGTGGTTCCCCCCCCCCCGCGACCCCTTTTCTTCGAGTCCTCCCGATCCTTCTCTCCGTGCCACCGCTGTTTCTCTTCTCCTTATTCTTCTTATTATTGTTTTTCTTACTCGTCTTCTCGTCTGCTCCCCTTTGCGGAAGGGCGGCCCGCCATTGTTTTCCAGCTCCGGCTCAAGAATTCCGCGCGGAGGTCCTGGAGTCTCCGTGCATGTTGATGTTTGCCCCCCCATTCGAAATCATGAAGCGACCCACCTACACTGGGCGGCCTTTTGGGCCCCAGCTGCCCTCCCTGCTCGAGGCAGCCTCGGAGAAAGCGACACAGATCGAGAGTCGCTCCTGGCCCACCACGCGGCGTAGCCACCGGGCCCGCTTTGAGCCCTCCTGGGAGCTCCAGGGGAGACCTAGAGGGAGGAGGAGGAGGAGGAGGAGGAGGAGGAGGAGGAGGAGGAGGAGGAGGGCGCCATGGGCCCGACCACTGCGAGAAAACCTCAGGGGCAGGTTCCTTCATGCTGAGAGAGGGATGTCGTGGGCGGAAGCGGGCTGGTTCGGTAGCACACCATGGGAGCCTGGTCTGCCCCCTGGATTCCTTCGTCAGCGTCCGATTGGCATCGATTAGCGTTTTGGAGCCGATGGATAGCACTGGTTTAGCGTCGGGCAGCGTCGATTAGCGTCGGTTTAGCGTCGGTCCAGCGTCGACAGGCGTCGATTGGCGTCGACTTTACCAGAGTCGACAGGCTGGCCTGGGAGGCTTCCGTGAGCTGCCACCGAAGGCCGGGCCCCTGGGCCGCGACGCCGTGGATGCTTTTGTTCGATCTCCCCCCCGCGGATGTCCCGCGCGGAGCGTGTCCGTGCGACCACGCATGCACGGGCGGGTGATCTATCACGGAAACGTAAGACTCGAGTAAGCTGGAACTCGGGTGCCCCGACGTTTTTTGATGAGCGCGTCATGGATTTGGACGGTCCAGTTTTCGTGGGATGTTTGCAGCGGGAGTTGGCGTCAGAATTCAGTTTATGTGCATGTTTCTTCTGAGTACAATGGGGGGGCGCTCATTAAGAAACGATTTATTTTGCGTCAGGGCACCCTGGGTGCCTTCGCTCCTCGCGCTGTGCGGTGACTTCGTTCGGCCGCTAGAGAGGCTGCTGCGTTCAGGTAGCCCAGTCGCAGCTTCCGGGGGGGTCTTCAGGGCTGGGTGTCTTGCGAGGGTTTTTGCGGCCGCGTCCGCATTGTATGCACGCAGCTCATGAGGAAGAGGTCGAGTCACGCTCAGCAGCAAGATGCAGCTGGAGTGAACCAACTACAGGTGGAGGGACAGACTGAAATCGCGGGCGCATGCGAAGATGAGGTCGGTTACACCTGCACGACGACACCTGCAAACTGGGCGGCGCTTCCCTACCGACCTGCGAGGTCCGAACCCACACCTGGGGAAGAGTTCGACAATGGCGACGACCACGTCGACGAGAGCGACGGCGACGGCCAACGGCGAGCGGCGAGCTGCGGCGCCCCCCCCGCGAGGCTGCCCCGCCAGAGCTCCGCGGCTGCGACTCGCGGTGCTCCACCGCGGCCACGAGCACCCCGCGCGGGTCGGAGGATCGCCGATCGCTGCCGACTGTTCCCCTCTCGCCACCGTCGCCTATAGCTGCCGATCGCGGCCGCTGATCCTCCCAACTTTTATGTGCTGACTATGAGATCCTGACATCTCATTTCTTTTGCAGTCGAGGATTATTGAGAATTTCGTGCCCCAGGACCGTCAAAGATCGATCCGACCCATGGGGATGATCGTCCCTTCGAGGGATGGTTTCAGACGAGCCTGGCCTGTGTAGTATCCAGGCGCCGCTACGGGGTCATTGTCGCTCTGTGGTGGTGAGAATTTGCGTGAACGTCAGAGGTGGCTGAAACATATGCCGTGATAAGGCGTGTGGGCGCGCCCTGGCAATCCTCACGGCGAGTGGCGCAGGATGCCTCTCTTCCCTCTGGGAGACGAGGCGGCGGTTGTTTAAAGCCTGCGCCGCAATTGTGGACCCAAGGCCCACCAGCCCCCCCCACGGCCGACGATCCAACCACCAGCACCGTACATCGAAGAGCAGAGATGTGAAAAGCGGTTTCCGCCGCTCTCCTTCATCTCCCTCGTGGCTGGTGCTTCGCATGGTGAGTCCCCATTCCCGCAGTGGGAAAGCTGGCAGTCTTCATCATCCGCGCATTGGTTGCAGGGAAGCGCACATCGAAGGGCAGAGATGCCGACAGCGGTTTCCGCCACCCTGCTGCTTACTGACGCCAGAGGCTGGGATGCCCCGCCGCCGGCCAGCGGTGGACCCCGCCCGCGGAAGCCGCGGGCACGGCGGGCGCCTGCCAGCGCCGGCAGCTCTCGCGGAGGGCGCGGGGAGTCGGACGAGGTGCGTGGCGTCGCTCGGCGAGCAGAGGCAGAGGAGCGGCTTCGACGTGGGCTCGCAGGTCTTGGTGGGCAATCAGTATCGTTGAACCGACCCCCAGCTCCTCATCCCCTTCGAGACCCCCACCAAATTAACCCACACCAGTTGGGGATAGGCCCCTCGTAACCCGAAGGGAACGGCCTAGATCCCCTTCTAGGGGTGTAAATGGGCCAGTGGGGCCCAGGCCACGCCGCTGGGGATGGGGATCGGTTAAATAATGCTCAGACAAGCAGATTCAAGCAGCGGCGAAGCGTCCTGGCTTGCCTATAGGGCCGCCAGAAAGTGTGCCACGAGTCTTATTTGTGGTCTGCGCCAGGTGTTCTCAGAGCATTTCTCGCTGAGACTGTCTTGGTTCCATGCATCGGGCTTTTGTTGCAAGAACACTGTATCTGTTTTTAGAACTTCTTGGGCTCTAGGAGCATGTCATGGTAGGCCTATAGTCAAGCAGTGGCGAAGCGCCCTGGCGTGCCTATAGGCTTACCAAACAATGTTCTAAGAACTTGTTTTGGTTTCCACGATCTGTTATTCTCACAACATTTCTGGCTGGGACTGTCTGATGGGGCGGAATTGAACACATCGGCAGATGTCTATTCATTTATTTCATACATCGGAAGTATGTTCTAAGAACAGTGTGCTTGTTGTTCGATTTCTGGGGGGCTCTAAGAGAATGTCATGGTGGGCCGATAGGGATGCCGGGACGGTCGGCCCCTGCTCGACAGATGGAGCTCGGCTCGCGGCCCCTTCGCGATCGGTGACCCTGTGGTCTGGCAGCTGCCCGCCCTCGGCAGGAAGCGTCCGCCCGCGCGAGGGCGCCGCTCGCCCCTTGCGGGCCGGGGCCCGCGCGTCCTGCGAGGCCGAGCCGGACAGGGCGGACGGGAGGCACAAACGGGAAGTGTCGGCTCGGCGGCGAGCCAGGGGGGGAAGCGAAGAGGGGCGGGCATTGTCGGAAGGCTCGGAAGTCCCCAGGCCTCCTGAGGAGTGTCCAGCGACTTTTCCTAAGACAGAGAATTTCCCAGAAGGCGCGAGGGCTTCTGAGAAGTCCCGTCGCCTTCCGAGAAGGCCTTCCTGCTCCTCACTTCCCCCCCTCGCTGGCCGCCGATTGGCAGCACCTCAAGCGCTACATGGTGCGCTCCAGCCAGGGCGGAGCCTCGCAGATCGAGGGCCGAGAGGTCTCCCCCGCGGTCGACGACGCCGGCTCCGGCGCCGAGGAGTCGGTGGCCCTGCTGCGGGAGTGTTGCGACGGGATGCGCAGCCGGCGGCGGACGATTTCACGAGGCATGTCAACCACGACCTCGCGGCCGTCGGGAGGTATGCCGAGCTGGTCATGAGGGATGGCGTCGCGCCGTTCCCTGGCTGCATGCTGGGCACGTCGCCACAGCACTTCGGGAGCCAGACTGGCGCACACGACACCTCGCAGCAGAAGTCTCCGTGCACACCTAAGCCTTTGCCGAGCGACACTAATGGTGAGAAGAACTCATATAGGTACTACATGGGTCTGCAACGTATGGCAGCACAAGGGGAATAATCGCTCGCGGTTCATGGACATGTCGATCTGTTGCAGCCACTCTGGCAGTGCCATCGCAACGATCAAGACTGCACACACTTGCATGATTCAGCCATCTCTATCCAGGTCAAGCTTGTGCGTGCTACAGGCATTTCTGAAGATCGCACGAGGCCTCCGATCTGAGAGGCAATACAGTGTCAGCGCAGCGATGTCAACGAATTCTAGACGCTTCGCGTGACCCCACCAGCTCGTCAATGGCGTTTGGAGCCTGGCGCCCCACTGGCGACTCACTCCACAGGTCCACTTGCCCCCACTCAGAACGACGGACATGGTTATCCTGGTTCACGTCTCATACTGTGTGGGCCGTGCCATGGCAGGCACCGAATTCCATGACACTTTGTCCTGTGAACGTGCTCGAGCTCTCAGGATGCCCCCCGCCGTCAGCTCCCCGTCAGCTTCGCGGCTGCTTTGTGAGTGGGCCGGCCGGCCTGTGCCTGTTGTAGCTAATTAGCCTCGTTCGCGCCCCGGACTTTGCTTTCGCCGCCTGCCTTTTCGCTCGCGGCCGCGACCGAAAAGTGACCCCACCAGCCCATCCACAAACGATACAGTAACGATAAGGGATGTGGAGGAGAATGGAGGAGGATGGAGGATGGACCCCAGTGAGGGGGCCTCTTGGGACCTCATGGGGGGATATTGGGCGCCTCTTGGGGCCCTCTCGGGGCCTCCTGGGCACCTCTTGACAAGTCTTGAGGCCCCCTTGAAGACGTCCTGGGGCACCCTTGGGAGCCTCGGGGGCCGTCTTGGGGCCATCCTGGAAGAATTCGATCAAAGGAGGAAGGCTCTTTACTCAGGTCCCGCCCCAGGAGGCCAAAGTGTGGCCAACACCTCAGTACAATCACTCAATCATGTTGGCTGCGTGGCCTCTTGGGGCGACTTGGGTCCTCTGGAGGGCCTCTTGGGAGCCTCTCGGGGGCATCTTGGGCACCTCTGTGGGGCCTCGTGGTGCCTTCTGGGCACCTCTTGGGGCCCTCCTGGAGCACCCTTGGGAGCCTCGGGGGGCCATCTTGGGGCCATCTTAGAGGACATCGATCAAAGAGGGGAGCTCCTTGCTTAGGATCCCCCCCTTGAGGTCAAAGTGTTGCCAAACCCTTCTAGTAAGCTCAATGATGTTGGCTTCCTCGCCGAGGCCATCTTGGACGCTCCGGCGACCCCTAGAACGCCCCCGCCCAGGTCCAGGGGGTGGGGTTAGGGAGGCGGACGAACCCTTCACCGAAAGGGGAAGAAGGGGAAGAAACTCCCTAAACCACTCATGCCCTAGTGTTTGTTGTCCTATTTTTTGTTTTGCCGATCGGCGCGGGCTCTCGCCCCCCCCTCTTCCCCCCCCCCCTCGGAGTGGATCTTGGTTATTTTTGGCGCCTGTTTCGAGCAGGGGAGTCTCCCCCCATAGGACGCACTGTTGAAACAGCCACACTAAGCAGAGGTCCAGAGCCAGACCCCCCTCCTCCCCCCCCTTCCGCCCAATGTCGAACCGAATAAGAAAGCGCTCACCTAAAGGGCTGGTGGGATTGGATGTGTCATGGCATGCGTAAGGCCGCATCGCTGGGCAGTTCGTGTGCGACGGTATAAGCAGCGGCGCCACATCAGTCAGGTAGGCAGCGATGTGCCGTGTGCAGACAGCACGGGCCCGTGGATCGCGTGCCGCAGTGCCAGCCGAAATTGCGGCCGATCTGAATCAACTTGGAGATTTCGCGGCTGGCGTTTCGGAGGAACGGGCTGACTTCGGCCAGATCCGGGGCCCCTGGAGGGGCCTCAAGCCTATGTTCTCTGCCCTCGCCCCTGCGATCATCGCCGACGCCGAGAAGTCATGTCCGCGCTTGTTGGTCAATCAGAAGGGACTTAAACGAAGTTGACTCTTGCGTTGTTCTGCAACAATTACACGTCCATCGATGTGCATGCAGGTATGTGTACATATGGAGATTATATAACGTAAGGTGCATGGCCGAACAGACACATAACACGAAACGTCGAAGAGCATCGAAACCTAGCACTTCGCTGGCCTGCCAGAAGACCTAGCTGATTCTATGTTGGCGGCCGCTGTGTAATCCCCCCCTTCCAGCGATCTCCGCGTAGACCGTCGGATTCCCCCAGAGACCTCTCGAGACGCCTGGAGGCCTCTGGAGACCGCGAACGACTCCCCGGACCTCCTGAGGGCCATCGAGGCATCCGGAGATCTCAGCACCTCCCCTGGGGGTCGGCTTTTGTTGAGACAGTTGTAGCCATAGCCCATAGCCCCTGCGGGCTCCGAGAGAGGAGGCCTAGATGGGAGCGGGCTGCATTTGCCAAAGAGACGGGCTGGACAGGTAGCGCATGGAATCACAGCTTCAGTTCGACTAGAAAAGATGACTAAAGTGCCGCGGCCTGAGTCCGATATCATTCGGCTTCTTCGTTCGGCACCCTCCCGAAGTTGCAAGTCCCAAGCTCATACCACCTCCACATCTCTGATAAACGGTTTTCGCGTCTGGGCCGGCGATTTCTTCGGGCTCGGTCGTCGAGCTTGCAGACGAAGATGATAGGCTCGGGAGAAAGAGAGCCTTGCCTGATAAGCTGTTAAGCATGCTCACCCGTCCGACCACGGACAAAGAACGTGCATCGGTTGCAGCACGGTCCGAATACCTTGAGGCCACAGGAATTTGATACCTGCGGGATGGAGGAATGAGAAGGACGAGCGCAGTTTCTTCTGTCGATGGTGGTCATCAACGATTGGCCCAGTGATCGTACGACATGCTTATTCTCCTGAACGGCTGGCTCGGTTTATTGTGACGTGCCCGCCGTTCACCTCAACAGTTGAGGGTCTTCCCGCGTGCAGTCACGTTTTGGAATCAGGGTCACTCTGTTGTCGAAATGGGGTTCTATCATTAACCCTGGGAAGCAATCAGTAAACCCCCCTCCCCCCCCCCCTCATCAGAGGAAATTATAACGCTTCTGGCACCGGGGCCGGGGCGGAAGCGATATCCCCCGCAGGTCACCAGAGGTCCGCGGAGGGGAGGTCCCCGGAGGTTCCCAGGAGGCATCCAGAAAGGCTTCCACAAGCCTCTGAATGCCCGGTCCCCTTGTTCCCCCGAGCCCAGCGACAAGGCACACCTGCCCAGAGTCGCTTCCTGTGATTCTGTGCGTTTCTGTGAGATTCCCCAGAGATTCCTTTGATACTCCGATTGGCTTCTTTTGAGATTCCTTGCCGTTTCCATTGTGATTATTTTGGGACTCCTTTGAGACTCCTCTGGTGTTCCTTTGATGTTGTTCTGGGGGTCCCTTGAGGTTCCGGTCATATCCCTTTGATGCCCCATTGCTTAAGGGAGCATCACATCGACATCCGGGGCCGGTGGATTATTTTATTTTCAATAAATGTGCTAACATATCGCGGGGGGGTTCGCGGAATCCGTCTGCGATATCTCTCCGTGGACTCTCCCATAGGATCCCCTGAATTAATCAATTTCCCTAGTGCGGTCGCCATAGGGATTGCTTATGTCCACGCGAGCCCGCGTTTTCCAAATTCCTTAGATTCCTTCGTGGTTCGTTTGAGCTGCCGCTGAGATGCCTTTGCGATTTCTGTTGGGCTCCTTTGAGATTGCTTTGAACTTCCATTGGTTCCTTTGATATCATGCGTGGGATTATTTGTGATATTCTTCTGGGATTCCTTTGGGGGTCCTTTCAAGTTCCTCTGACATTCCTTCGACAATCCCTGAAGGGAGCATCACATCGACCTCCGGCGCTTGTGGATTATTTCATTTTCAATACATGTGCTAACATATCGCGGGGTGATTCGCGGAATCCGTCTGCGATCTCTCTCCGTGGACTCTCCCATAGGATCCCCTGAATTAATCAATTTCCCTAGTGCCGTCGCAATAGGGATTGCTTATGTCCACGCGAGCCCGCGTTTTCCAGATTCCTTAGATTCCTTCGTGGTTCGTTCGAGCTGCCGCTGAGATCCCTTTGCGATTTCTGTGGGGTTCCTTTGAGATTGCGATGAATTTCCAATAGGGTTCCTTTGAGATTCTGCGTGGGCTTCCTTCTGAGATTCCTCTGGGATTCCTTTGGGGGGTCCTTTCAAGTATAGCTGCTTGCGGTGATTTCATTGTTTGTCGTTTTTGATTTACCTTTGATTTCCGATGTGCGTCAGTTTCCCTGTGTTCTAGGCGGGAACCCATTGGGAAGCGTTCGTGCACATTTGTTCTTCAGGCTGTCGCCTCACGTTGCCGCCAGCTTCGGGCCTGGGGGGGGGCGAATGAATTAATTATTTTATTATATATATTTTTTATGTGCTAACGATATCGCCGGAGGGCGCCGCCCAAAATAATTATTTATTTTATTTTCTGTGCTAACGATATCGCCGGGGGGTTTACTGTTTGCTTCCCAGGGTTATTGGCCCCTTCCGTGCTGGGCTTGTTGGCGTAGCCGAGGCCCGAAATGAGCTTCGGCCCTTATCCGAGGTTCCTTGCGGTACAGTTGGGCCGCCGTTGAACGGTCCGGAGGGCGATTGGGTCGCAAGGGGGAGGGGCGGCTTGATTTGGTGACCAAATGTGAACCACACCACATGTGAACCCCACCCCCGCATGTGGTCACCGAGTCAAGCCGCCCCTCCACCTTGCGACCCGGCCGCCCTCCCTAAAATTCAGCGGCGGACCAGAGATGCATTACAAGGAACTTCGGGTAAGGGCCGACGCCCATTTCGTGCCTCGACTACGCCCGCAAGCCCAGCAAGGAAGGGGCCAGTAATGAACCTCACCCCCTTAGAAATCGTGGGGGGTGGGGGTGGGGTTCGCATGTGGTCACCTATGGACGGGTGGGCTGGAGCAGTGGGCGGGGGAGGCAGAGGTGAGTCGGGAGCGGGGTGTGGGGGGGCACGGGGGAGGGGGGGTGGGGGGCGGGGGCGGGGTGACGGGAGGGGGGGCGGAGGGAAGATCGAAAAAGAGGGGGAGATGGGAGGCGAGAGGGATGAGCAAAATGATGAGGAAGAGGAGGACGAGAAGGGATGATGATGATGAGGAGGAAGGAGGAGGAGGAGGAGGAGGAGGAAGAGCAGGAGGAGGAGCAGGAGGAGGAGGAGGAGGAGGAGGAGGAGGAGGAGGAGAGGAGGAGGGAATAGGCATAGCAGCAGCATGCTACCATATCGAGCGGGGGCTTCCCATCCGACAACACGCACCCATAGCCCCCTTCCGCCCCCCAATGGGTGTCGGTGTGTGTGTGTGTGTTGTTCCTCCCTCTCCGCCCACCCACCGGCAAGGACTGCAGCCCGCTCGGCAGCGCCCGCGCGAGAGCCGAGTCCCCAGCAGGCCCGTGCCGCCGCCGCGGCTGCGCCTCGGCCAGCGTCCCTCTTCCCCGCTTTCTCCTCCCGTTCTTCTTCCGCCGCCTCCTCCTCCTTCTTCAGGAATCCTCCTCTCTCCTTTTCCTCTAAACTTCCCCTCCTCCTCCATGCCCTCCTCCTCATCCTCCTCCTCCTCTCCCCCGCCTCCTCCTCCCCCCTTTTCCCCTTCTTCTTCTCCGTGCGTGTGTTCCTCCTCCTCCTCCTCCTCCTCCTCCTCCTCCTCCTCCTCCTCCTCCTCCTCCTCCTCCTCCTCTTCCCAATCCTCTACGTGCTGCTGCTGCCTCTCCTCCTCCTCCTCCGCGTACCTTTCATGCTCCTCCCGAGGATATTGTTTTTTCGGGTGCTTCGGTGTGGGGCCCTCAGGGACTTCCAGGCGAATCAAGTGGCCTCCAGGGACTCCGGGGCCATCCATGGACCTCCAGGGACGGTCTCCTCCCTCCTCATCATCCCTCTTTGGGCCTCCTCGTCCTCCTCTTCCCGCTTCCTCCTCCTCCTCCTCCTGGTAGGCCAAATCCGTTGCCGGCTCTCGTCGCGAGCGTTTGTGTTTGAAAGCGTGCAACTGCCATAAGGGTGGAGGTCGGCTCCTTGTCAACATGGGGCTCTCGCCTGAGCGCCGTGCGCATTCTTGTCAAAAGCTTGTGACGTATACGAGGGCGGAGGTCGGCTTGCTTTCAAAATGGGGATCTCGCCGCAGCGCCGCGCACTATCGTCTTAAACGCTTGCATTAATGACAAGGCTGGAAAACTGCTCGTTTTCATCATCGGACTCGCTGGAGGCTTCAAGTGTAACGACCAGATGTCTGGACATACCAAACAACCGCACGACTGCAGGGCTGCTTCCTGTCAGAATGGAGCTCTCGCCGTAGACTTCCTCACATCTTTGATTTTCCGCGCATCCCAACAGGCCCATCCAGAAACGAGGCCCAGGCGAGCCCTTGGCCAGAGGGAGAGAAGCGCGTCGGCCACGGCGCCGCCTCCGCCGCCGCCGCCGCCGCCGTCGTCGTCGTCGTCGTCGCTGTCGCCGTCGTCGCCACCGCCGTCGCCGTCGTCGTCGCCGCCAGCGCCTCTGAGGACCTTCGAGCGCGCCGCCTCGGGTGCGCCCGCCGCGGCTTGCGAGCAGCAGCAGCCCCGCGGCGCTCGCCGCGGGCGTGGCCGCGGCGCCGCCCTCCGCGGATGCGCGCCGCACCGTCGGCGCTGCGCCCGTGGCCGCGGCGGGCGGCGCTCGGGAGGCGCAGCGGCCGCCCGGCGGCGAGGCGGCAGGCGGCTCCGCGGACGCCGCGGGCGTTGCCGCCAGATCGGCCGCGAGTAAGAGTAAGTCGGTCGTGTCCCTCTACAGGAGGAGTACCCCAAAATAGTGCAAAGATAGTCTTGGGACGAGTTTGTT